TCTGTCAGTTGAGCCCAATTCTCCAGGAACATTAGAGAATCAAACTGCACTGAGAGTCCCCTTTCTAATATGCACAAATATCCTTGCCCCAAAGTATCTGGTGATGTCATGCATGAGCTCAAAGTAGCCAAAGGCCCCTGCTCCTTTAGTATCCATGACTTTCTAAGGAATTCTCTCTTTGTCAAAGTGAAAGTCTCTCTCTTTTTTTTTTTCATCAGTGAAAACCACAATACACATGTAATCGTACTTATGTAAAAGTAATGTCTCATTGAAACCACATTAATTCACTAAATCCTATATGAGAAATACAATACAAAAGTAACTCAAACACATGTACTACACATTATATACATATACATGCACAAATATATCCATAGACAACCATTTCATGTCATACATTTGATAATAATGATTATTTCATATGTATTATTGATTTGCATATTATGAATTCTGAAGTACAAGAGTAAACAATATCCGCAAGACAATGATCCATTTAATGCTTACACACCAAGTGAATTATATTTAAATTGTCATCCTTAATTAGACTATGATGTTAGGGTTGTAACTGAAGTCTAAGACTCAGAAATATTTGAAAGGGTAAGCAATACATGGCACATATTCCCCTTAAAATGTGAGAATATAAAAGAGATATATTATGTTTATTTCTCTCTCACTGTTTTAGACTTGTCTGAAAACACATAAAAGAGTTCTCTTCACATGTCATCTCCAAGGATATCTAGGTCTTCACTTCTAAGATTTAGTTTGAGGCCAAAGGGCCCTGTTTCCAAAGAAAGATTAAAAGAGACTATCACCCAGGAAATCACTCCAGGAGGACCATTGTTTTTGATGATCTAAGAACATCAAAGGATGCTTAGAAGGTCAAGAAGAGATTGTTAGAAATGCTTGTGCTTCCAGGATAAAAGAGGAGATTGACCCAATGGTGGAGAAGCCACAGGGTTAAAACTGGGGCTGTATTCTCTTGGTTATTATTACAAAGTGTTGTGATGCAGAAATGAGATTCTAATCACAAGACCCTGAAAGGTGAGTGATACCCACAGACTTGGGAGAAGCAGTAAAGTTACCAGGGCTGATCCTGGAACTAGCAGAGAGGAGGAGAGACAGGAGGTCATCTAAGGGGCCTACACAGAGCAGCAATATGAGACTGGTAAGTTTTCCACAGAGGAAGGGACAAGAGGGTAATAGGGACCAGTACCCATAAATAACTGAGTCCGTGACTCTGAGTTCTGTAAGCTTGGATGCACATATACCCCAGGGTTCAAGCACAACAAAAACTGACATTTGACTTCTCATTAACTTCACTCAGAGGAGCCCTATGGCCAGATTTTTATGTGTCTTTAAAAAAAACCAAATATGTAATACATCTTGCCCATCAATTTTCTGAAAAAAAGTTACAACTGCTAAATAAATATTCCTAGAATCCCCTTCCTCAGGAAAGCCCTCCAATATTGTCTCTTTTTGCAAAAGAGGAAAAGATCTACACAACTACATTTTCAAACTATGGGTTTGAGTCTATTTAGAGACATTGGGATCTAGGGAAATCATGTCCTACACAACCATTGCCTAAATATTCTTCATTTACTTGAAGTTGCCCTGTTCTGCTTTTTAATTTCCTTTTTCAGTACAAGCCAAATGCTGGGCACACCAAGAGAGCTTTATGTCCCCATATGAAGACCTGGAAGCACCTCAAGGCTGCCATCTTCATGTGGCAAGTTAGCTCAGTGGATATGAGACAGGCCCTGGAATCAGACATGTCTGTACTTGAATCGGAGATCTGACTCAGCCAGGCCATATGAACCAAGGAAAGTTGTGTCACTACCTAGAGACTGGATTTTCTCATCATAAAAAATGGAAACACTGTCCCTAATCTGAAAATCCAAACTGCTCCAAGATCTGAAATTCTTGGGATCAACATATCACCACAAACAGAATGTTTTGTACCATGAAATTGTTTTGTGCACCAAATTCTTTAAAATTCTTTGTATAAAACTGCATTCAGGCTATGCATATAAGGTTTATATAGGACATAAATGAATTTTGTATTTAGACTTGGGTCCCATCCCCAAGGTATCTTATTATGCACATACAAGTATTCCAAAAGTCAGAAAAAAATCTTAAATCCAAAACACTTTTGATCCCAAGTATTTCACATAAAGGACAGTCAACCTGTAGTAGCTACCTCAGAGGGCTGTTTTAAGATTACAATGGAATAATGACATATAGCACCAAGTACAATGTTTGGCACATAATCACAATTTGAGAAATGGTAGTTATTATTAGCAACAGAAAATCTAAGCCATTGAAATAATCAGTTATTATTACCCTAACCATCCACAACAAAACACTAATGACTGGTAATGTGGTAAACAACATGTTTAACATTACAAATTAACTGTGCTTCTAAGTTAGTTAGATCAACTAATTTACTTGTAAAGTTTAAAATAATTTTTCTTTACCATAAAATGAAAAAGTCATAGACTTAAGGTCATATTACAAACTACCAGAGCAAATATATTATACAGGAATATTTGAAAATTCTGAATTTAGACAAAAAACAAAGATTAAAAAATGTCCCAGCCATCACATAAGTATTATTGTTTTTAAAATAACTATCATTTTTTTTTTAATTTTTTATTGTGGGTTGTTCAAAACATTACAAATTTCTTGACATATCATATTCCACACTTTGATTCAAGTGGGTTATGAACTCCCACCTTCACCCCATACACAGATTGCAGATTCACATCAGTTACACATCCATTGATTTACAAATTGCCATACTAGTGTCTGTTGTGCTATCATTTTTAATGTAAGTAATAATTAAAAGTAACTTTATTACTAGTCAGAGGTTTTAGAAAAGTTCTTGCTGGAGGGTCAAATTCAAATAATCTATGGACTATTACAATAAATAATGAACAAGGGTCTCAAGCAGCATTCAGTTGGTAATAATTACTATTCAGGCATTAATTCTGTAACAGAATTTTGAAACTTTGCAAATACACTTAATCAATAGTGTACTGCTAAATATTTAAAATCTGGCTGCCAGGGAAGAAGCCCTTAATTTGGAGCAAATCTTCCACCATGGCAGATTTCAAACTGACAAATGGATCTCCACATCCAGTGGTAGCCAGAACCACAAGATCATGCAAATATGGAGTTACTACTCATAATGGTTAGATAGTCTGACAGAATTGAGTTGTTTACAATGAAACCAAGACATCTGCCAAGTAAAAAGTATAGATAAATACCATACAGATGTTCTAGGAAGGTAGCCAAAGCCAATTACAATAAACTGACTACATTGGTATTACTCAGGCTCTGTTTCCCTTCCCCCCCCCCCCTCCAATCCTCCTTACTGAGAATTGATCTCTCCTCTGCACAGGAGGCTGCCTGGACCCTAGGCTCGCATCACCTTCTTCTCTACTGAGCCTCCTGTCTCTTCAGACTCTTGTTAATGTCTTTCGGGGAGAGGTACTCAGGTTCTCTCTGTATTCATTTAATATCATTCACCAAGAAATAATGGTGTTTTTCTCATAGAATTGCTGCAGTCTCCCTGAGTGCAGTGAACTCACCACTTAAGCTTAAGCTCTCTCAGCTAATAAGAGAGAGGTGCTCTGTGAACAAGAAAGAATTAGTTTTCCATTTAACAAATTTGCTTACCTGTATGTTCATTTAGAAACAGACTGTCTAAACTTTTAGGAATACCATTTGGAACACTGCTGGAAAAAAGGTAAATCCATCTGACTTTGAACCTTAGGCTAACCCTAGACTACTTTACTGTAGAAACTCCCCACACCCCTAACTTACCAAATTAGTTTTTTTTAAAAAAGAGTTTATGCATGAAAATAAATTCCACAATGTATTTCTCTGTTAACTCATAATGTTACACTTCAAATCTTCTTAATTTTCAAAAGGAAAGTTATTAAATATGACCTTCAGTAATTCTATAATCTCTTTATAGGTTATACTTACAAAAAAATTACCTCAAGGTATTTTTGTGGCTTTAAAAAAGAAAGGAATCCATTACAAGATGAGTTTTGTGGATAGATGGTAGTAATAGTAGGAAAACAATATGACTATACTTAGTGCTACTATAGTTCTATATACTTATAATAGTTCTATACACTTAAAAATGTTTAAATGACAAACTTTCAGTGATATGTTACCCAATTAATAATTCCACAGCCACATCAATGTTTATAACAACTCAAACTCACAATAGCTAAACTGTGGAACCAATCTAGGTGCCCTTAAACAGATGAATGAATAAAGAAAATGTGGTGTGTATATATACACAATGGAAAATTACTCATCCTTAAAGAATAAAATTATAGCATTTGCAGGTAAATGGATGTAACTGGAAAATATTATGCTAAGCAAAATAAGTCAATCCCAAAAATACAAAGGCTGAATGATCTCTCTGCTATGTGGATGCTAACTCACAATAAGGCAGGGGGCGAGGAAAGAATACAGTTACTTTGGATTAGGTAGAGGATAGTGAAGGAAGAGGAGGGGGTGTTGGGTAGGAAGGACAGTATAATGAATCAGACACTATTACCCTATGTACATATATGACTACACAACCGGTGGAATTCTACAACATGTACAAACAAAAGAATGGGAAACTATACTCCATTTATGTAAGATGTATCATAGTATATTCTACTGTTGTGTATAACTAATTAGAACAAATAATTTTTAATGTAATTTTTTTAAAAATCCACTAAAGATAAATTCTGCCACTCTGCCCTCCAAAATTTTAAATAAAAAATTTACAAATAACAATAATACTGATACTTTAATACATCCATGTGTTATCACGGACTTTGCACACAAGGACCCCATGTATTCTGCTAGACAGCAACAAGATACATTCATTTCTCCAAGGTCTCATTATAATTCATTATAATTGATACCCAGGGCTAATATTAAGATGTTATGGTTTAATGAGAAGAATAAATGATCAAAAAGTCAGCACATACTGCATTCTTTGCCCCTCACTGGGTCAGGCAGGCCGGAACAGTCCACTGCAGAATTGGGAATGGCAACTCTCCACCTGGAGCCACTGCTATCACATTCCGTATATTCAAAGTGGTAATCTTTCTGCAAACAGGCACAAAACAAGCCTTTGTTAGAGCTGATTCTAATGAGACAACTGTGCTTTATCAATCATCCTAACACAATTAGCTTGCAAGCCTCTATCCAAACGGCACCCCTTGTTTGACTTGAATTCCTTTCCCACTCCACCCACTAAGCAGTTTATTGATCAAAAATGTATTAGATATCCTGGCACAGTGGCACACTCCTGCAATCCCAGCAGCTAGGGAGGCTGGTGCAGGAGGATCACAAGCTCAAGGCCAGCCTCGGCAATTAAGTAAGGCTTTAAGCAACTTAGGCCCTGTATCTAAATAACAAATAAAAAGGGAGGTTAATTTTTTGAGTTCTTTGTATACTCTGGATATTAGGGCTCTATCTGAAGTGTGAGGAGTAAAGATTTGTTCCCAGGGTGTAGGCTCCCTATTTACCTCTCTTATTGTTTCTTTTGCTGAGAAAAAACTTTTTAGTCTGAGTAAGTCCCATTTGTTGATTCTAGTTATTAACTTTTGTGCTATGGGTGTCCTATTGAGGAATTTGGAGCCCGACCCCACCGAGTGTAGATCGTAGCCAACTTTTTCTTCTATCAGACGGCGTGTCTCTGATTTGATATCAAGCTCCTTGATCCATTTTGAATTCACTTTTGTGCACGGCGAACAAATGGGCCAAGGACCTGAACAGACACTTCTCAGAGGAGGACATACAGTCAATCAGCAAGTACATGAAAAAATGCTCACCATCTCTAGCTGTCAGAGAAATGCAAATCAAAACCACCCTAAGATACCATCTCACTCCAGTAAGATTGGCAGCCATTATGAAGTCAGACAACAAGAAGTGCTGGCGAGGATGTGGGGAAAAGGGTACACTTGTACATTGCTGGTGGGACTGCAGATTGGTGCAGCCAATTTGGAAAGCAGTATGGAGATTTCTTGGAAAGCTGGGAATGGAGCCACCATTTGACCCAGCTATTCCCCTTCTTGGTCTATTCCCTAAAGACCTAAAAAGAGCATGCTACAGGGACACTGCTACATCGATGTTCATAGCAGCACAATTCACAATAACAAGACTGTGGAACCAACCTAGATGCCCTTCAATAGACGAATGGATAAAAAAAATGTGGCATTTATACACAATGGAGTATTACTCTGCATTAAAAAATGACAAAATCATAGAATTTGCAGGGAAATGGATGGCATTAGAGCAGACTATGCTAAGTGAAGCTAGCCAATCCCTAAAAAACAAATGCCAAATGTCTTCTTTGATATAAGGAGAGTAACTAAGTTCAGAGTAGGGACGAAGAGCAGGAGAAGAAGATTAACATTTAACAGGGATGAGAGGTGGGAGGGAAAGAGAGAGAGAAGGGAAATTGCATGGAAATGGAAGGAAACCCTCAGGGTTATACAGTGGAGGGGGTAGAGAGAGAGGAGGGGAGGGGAGGGGAGAGGTGGGGAGGGGGGAGGGTGGAGGATGGGAAAGGCAGCGGAGCACAACAGACACTAGTATGGCAATATGTAAATCAATGGATGTGTAACTGATGTGATTCTGCAATCTGTGTATGGGGTGAAGGTGGGAGTTCATAACCCACTTGAATCAAATTGTGGAATATGATATGTCAAGAAATTTGTAATGTTTTGAACAACCAACAATAAAAAATTTTAAAAAAAAGGGAGGTTAAGCACCCTTGGGTTCAATTCCCAATATAAAAAAAAAAATTATTATATAAGGCATACAGTAGGCACTCAAAATATGGGGGAGGGCAGGTCAGACAACATTCTTAAGCTGTAGCCTTTATCCTTTCGTACCATATACCTCTAAACCCAAAGACTACAGCACATTTCTCCATCTCTTTTGCAGGCTTTTTAAGCTCCAAAGGATTGATAGATAGGAGTACAAGGAAGAGCAAAATAACACTAGGAAACTGACTGCTGTCAGTCACTCCAAGTGTTTCAAAGAAATAAGAGAACCATTCCCATTGACCTAGTTCTTGCCCTGTTTAAAATTTAACAAAGTATAATAATTGATCATTCAAATACTAGAGAAAAAAATTACAGATTTTCTAAGCAACTCTCCCAAACTCAATTCACATCCACCACAGCAGGCTGCCATTAGTCACTGAGTATTAAAATAGACCATTTATTACAATTGCCAACTTAAGGCCAACCCACTTGTCTCTGGCTTTTGGTTGCTTTGAAAATCTCACAATGACCTCCTCTGGTCACAGCACATTTCACATGAGCAATGCTTGAATGGAGGGGAATCAGGATAAGATGTTACAAGAGCATTTCAAGAATAAGAGAAATTCCAAATCTATCCTCTATACCCTTATTAATTTAATCCAATACCCAGAATGATGCTATTAGGCCCCTCATCTATTTTGTTTGGCCTCCCTGACTATATTAATGACAGAGAAGCACAGAAGCACCTAATGACTTCACCGTGGGGAAGTAGGAACAGGAAGGCCATCACTCTTGCCTGTTTTCCACAGCAGCCTTTCCCAACAGTTAATCTCCTGTTTTAATATATTTTTCAATCTGGATAAACATAATTTTCCAAATCCGCAGTTTGGGTTTTCTTTTTGTTACTGTACCCTTGGTTCATCTTTTTCTTCTCATATTTTACTATAAGCAATAAGAAGAAAGCAGCTCATCTGTACTTTTTACAATACTCTTTTATGATAATTTACATACTAAGAAAATGTAGGCATTTTCTACCATGCTTCTCATATTTCCTGAGCCATCACCAGCAGTCTTTTTCATCTTTATTTATTTATCAAGTTTGTTCAAGACAATCCAGGATTTCTATCATGTACCTCAAAATTCTTCCAGCCTCTGCTTGTTACCCGATTGTAAAGTCACGTCCCCTCTTTTAGGTATCGATTATAATAGCACTTCACTTCCAGTTCCCCCCAAACTATAATCATTTCTGTAGCGAATTACCACAAAATACATTTTGTGACAACAGAAATCTATTCTCTCATAGTTGTATGGGTCAGAAGTCAAAAAATAGTTCCACTCCTCAAGGCATTGGCAGGCCATACTTCCTCAGAAAGCTTTAGGGAAAATCCATCTCTTTCCTTAGGCTTCTGGGGGCTGCTGGCATTCACTGTCCATGGCTGTGCGACTCCAGGCTCTGCCTCGGCCTTTTCTCCTCTTGTGATTGCACTCAAAGCCCATCTGGGTATCTTCCCTTAAGGTTCTCAATTTACATCTTCCTTTTTTTTTTTTTTTTTTTGTCATATATGGCAATACCTCCGTGTTCTAGGGATAAGAATTTGGATATCTTTTGTTTTTGTGTTTCTTTTTCTTTTTGGGTGGAAGCATTATTCAGCTTCCCACAATCCTCTGATAGAGTAGCTTGACTGGTCATTCATTTGCATAATGGCTTTCAGGTTTTTCTGTTCCCAGTTATTTGTATTAGGACATCTCTCTTATTTCCATATCCCACTGAGAAGATCCTGGCCTCTATATGGAAAATTTAGGTTATTTCTTATCATCCTAGCAAAATAATGATGCTGGGAAGTCTGGCATGAATTTCAAATGAAGCAAGGCCTCTGAATAAAATAGGGTAAGCTCCAGAAAGCACTCCTCCAACACTACCTCTGAGTTATCCAGGCTGCCACATCCAAGATGAGAACAGTAATAAGTAGATGAAAAAGGCATTATGTTTTCTGGCTGTAATGTTGTGTGTCATACACCACTTAATTTCCCTAAGATTCTTTTATCCTATTTACCCTTTCCAAATTACCCAATGACTCCAAAGGGCCATAGCTACTGTTGTTACCAAACTCTTAGGATGTAAGCAAGAAGCATTGACATGTTTATTTAGAAATTTAAAATACCAAAATGAAAACAAACCTATTTCATGCAGAGGATAGCACAGGGGGTCAGGGATTTGGACTGTAGTCCAAGCCAGATGGAGTTTATTTTAAATTATTTAATAGGCTATTTCATATGGCTTGGTAACAAATAACAATTTAAAAAATCTCTTCTGAAGGAAACCCTTCAATTCATAGAAAGATCTAAGAAGTGGGGTTACATAGTAAAATTACTAAAGAGACATTATATGACAGCCTCTCCCAAGTATTCTGAATGATACTCTGGGAAAGAGAATTACACCACATAAATTTTCAGATTTATACTTAGCACTCAAGACCCTAACTAAACACAACTCAAATAAAGATTGAATGCTTAAATCAATCCTTCAGAAATAGGAATTTTCTGATGTTAAGGGACAAGTTCAAAAGAAAAGGTAAAGTCATTTCTTAAACAAATATAAAATTAATACATGTCAAGGACTTTGTTTGTAATTTTTATTAGCATGTCAAATCAATAGGGTGCTACCACCAGTTCAAAGAAGAACTCAAGGGACAATAGACAATCAGGAAAGTAAAATGAATTTAATTAACATAAAATGGTAAATATATAGAGGATAATGATCAATTGTGTTCCAAAGGCTAAAATGCATTCTCATGTCTTCATGAGAATCACTGGTAATGCTATCAATTTCCTACATCTAACAGTGTTGTGAAATCATTCAAAGACAAAGAAAGACCTTTATAGAAACTGATAATTCAGGAACCTGCACTACACAGGATACCCAGAAATTCTTTCTGCCTTTTTCAATGTGTTTTACAATTTTGCTTGACAAGGGGAAAATTCTTGGCAATTTTTCATACACTCAGGGCACCTGGCATTTTATTTCCAAACACACTTAAGTGAGTCATTGCACACTCTAAAAAACAGACATCAGCTCACAAGCTACATTTCTCCAAATTACAAATAAGAAGAAGTGCCTTGTGCACTTCAATGCGAAGGATGAATGTTATTTAAACATGTCTGCAAATCACTGAATATTGGGGCATGAAGACACTGCTCCAAGCAACAAAGTTCCCTGTAAGCCTAACATTATAAATATGTGGGAGCCAGGAAACAACCCAAAAAGAAATAGAGCATGGAATTATGCCTGACCACAAAACACTTAAAGGAAAATTATCCTTCTATAGATATCAA